CTGATTAAGCCATTCGAAAGAGCATCAAAAACTGAGTAAAATAAATATAGTATGGAAGTTAAGTGAAGGAATTTGACCCATCTTTTAATGTTTTGAATTTTTGAAATATCTTTCCTGCACGGGAGGGTAAACATTTTTGGGGTATCTTTGCGTTATCATGTAGTCAAGTAGTTACTGTATAGGGGTATGAAAAGAGAAATTTAGACTTGTTAATTTCACAGGGAAAAACGGGTTTCTGAACATTAAAACCGACTTTTCACCCATCAAAGGCATTTTCCATTAAAAACTGATGTCATATTCGTGCTTAGCGTCAAAACTGCATTTAGTGATGTGTCACTCGAAGTTTAGCAAACGTTTTGCTTGGCAAAAATGCCTTTATTCTCCTGTCAGGTATTTAGTGAGTGAAACGCCTCTAGGCGTTTGTTTTTAGATGAAAGCAAAACTTTTGCTAAAGGGAAGTTTCCTTTCGCATATTGTGGATTTTTTTGGACAGTCACTTTAAGATACTTTAGACAATGTAGTACTATAATGACAATTTATTGTCGTAGAAAGAAAAGAAAAAAAATACCCTTTTTAAGATGGAATGTCAAAAAAAACATAGAAAGGTACTTTCTAGTAGTTCAAATTGTTCTTTTCTTTCCTTCTGTATTGTGTCCTATCAGATATAGACTGACCACTTCTTGCTTCTTCTGCTAGTAGTAATTAACGTTATATTTCTTTGAGTAAAAGATAAACATGCGAAAAACTAAAGAATTTTCGGAGGGCTTCCGCGAACTTATAATTAAACATCGTTTGTTGGGAAAAAGTCTTGCTGAAATAGCGAGAATTATGTTGGTGGGTAAGTCAACGGTACAAATGATTGTGCAAAAATATCAAAAATTAAAAACTGTTAAAACATTGAGCGACCGAGGAAGAAAACGAAAAACATCAAAAGAAGCCGATGAATTAATTGTTAAGAAACTTGCCGCCGATCGTAGGAAATCTTCCAAGGTTATTCGACAGGATGTAGCCACAGAATTAGGAGTTACAATTTCTGAAAGGACAACTAGACGTAGACTGAATGAGGCTGGATATTATGGACAAGTTGCACGAAAAAAACCGCTGACAAAACAGTCTCATCGTTTAAAACGACTCGGCTACAGTTACACTTATTCGACGAAGAAAACTAAATTTTGGGAAGCTGTTATATGGTCAGACGAAGCCAAATTTAACTTGTTTAAATCTGATGGAAAAATAATGGTCTGGAGAGCTGTCGGTGAAGTATTCTCTCCCGTGTGCACAGTACCAACGATCGCTCACGGCGGAGGGAACCTCAAAGTTTGGGGTTGTAAGGTTCAGCTAATGCAAACTTACAGTGGAATTTATTTTTGACTTTATTATACATATTCAGATTCAGTTTAACGAGCTGATTACGGATAACATCTTCCGAGCCTCCAAAAGTCATTTCTTCGTGGAGTAAAACTCAAATTACTGAGAATACCTCAAAAATACAAAAAACCGTCCTCTTTGATGAAATTGACTTTTTGTGCTTGTATTGCAAGATGGAAGGTTCGAACTATATTTTTCTGAATCAGCATTGAAAACTGATTTAGAAAAAGGTTTTCAGTTCATTTCATAGGTAAACAGTCGTCCCCCATGAACGTCCAAACCAACGGCTGTCAACTGGGTATGGCTCATTTTGTAAATCTATCTAGTTTTTTGGGTGAAGGGCTATATCGATGATTCACACACCATCAGATCGGCCAACACGCCAGCTTTAAAAGTAT